ATAAAAAAAGTATAGAAAAAAATTAAGAAACTTCTAAATAGTGTATCTTTGCTTGTTTTGATTGCTAATGTTTCATTTATTTGATCACAATTTTCCCAACGTTTACCAACACCTATCACGAAAAGAAGCATTTTTTCGCATTTAATTACCTTGAGTCTATATAATACTTAGGTATATAAATAAAAACCGCTTGTTTATCTTAAAACACCAGGCAACAATTGTATTTTATGTGAAGGTACCATCTACCTGCTAGCAAAAATGTATGGAATGCTAAGAAAAAAAGGTACGACGACAAAAAAAGATCGTGGATGGGAATTTTGGATTCCTGGAAATCACGTGCTGGCTTTACCATTGTTGTATAATGGGGTGTTATAAGGATATATTCCGGAAATCGGGATTAATGGAATTAGTTTTAAGTCCTTGAGAATTTGCTTAAAACAAGTGTTTTTTTATGGTTTAGCGATCCGAAATTAAAAAAAGTAATATAATAGTTTTCCTACAGTAAAATGTAGTATTAAAATCCTGTGCAGTGACAAATACAATGAAAATATAGAAAAGAGCGTATCATTTCTTAAAATGCCGGCAACGCAACGGCAACTTCTATCTTGACCATATATCTATAATATAATATATAAAAATTACTAATAAAAGCTAAAATTTGTAATGTTTTTTTGGAAAATATGTTCACCATATTTGTCATGTACGAGCCAAGGCTGTACATTTTGCTCACTCAATATTTCTTAGTATTATAAGCGTGGCGTTCCTAAATTTCATTCATTCGTTGCAGAGCAATTAACATTTCATTATTTCGCTTATATTCTATTGTTGTACGCGAGGTTAATATAGAGTAAAACTAAAATCCTCTTTTATTTAAAGCATCACGGTGACCCAGAATCCGTACATGTCATGACTTTTAGAATAGATAGCTAGTATCAAATACTGTAGAAAATACATACTCCAAAATGCTTTAACTCAATTGAACTGAATAACACAGAACTGAATAAAAAAATAACATAACTCTTAAACATCGAGCATTAATTTACACATCGTAGAAACATTCAATTATTAGCTGTCAGTGTACAGACTATAAAATATAAAAAGTCATAAAATGCGTTGTGTCTGTAAATATGATCTGTGGCGCATTCCACAGCTCGTAATACAGGGAGCGTTCTCAATAATAAGAATATGAGTGGAAAAAAAGACGAGGATTCGTGCGCCCGCGCCTTGTCCGGCCCGACGTCATGTTTTTTCGTTTTTTACGTCCCTCGGGGTATAATCGTTTGTAACGCTAGAGTTTATTAAAAATACTGCTATATAAATAAATCATTTGACGGTTATAAAATTCTTCTTGATATTAATATAGAACAAAGCTTTTTATGAAGTTTGACTTCAACGGCATAAAAATCATATGTGCAAACATTTAAAACATTGTTTGAATGAAATATTACATGTATACAAAATATAATACATATGAGTTTTTTGTACTGTTCCGCTAAGCCCAGATGGCGCTAACGTTAGGCCGTTGGCGATGCTTCCATGTGTTGTGAGTTCGAACCTCGGTGCATGGCTCCACAGATGGTGTGTTTTATAACCGCGATCTTCTAAGACCATGCTATATTAAAATTGTGTTCCTATGTTAAATTCTGTCTTGTATAGACAGTATCTATAAGGAATATAATGAACATTTTTGTTAGTAATTTTACTTTTTCTGGTCTGTCCCGTTGCAAAGCTGTTTTTATTTAATGCTGTGGAAATTAATGGTACTTAGGGTTAGTTTCAAATTTTAAGTATTTTCGTTAGGGTTAGTTAATAATCGATGCAAATTTTAAATATTTTCGTCATAAATATATTTTTTTGGCCTGATTATAAATGTCCTTAAATATATTTAATAAGAAGTTAAATTGAACTAATTTAACACATAATTAACGTACTTATCCGTCATTTAAAAGTGAATTATAAGTTAAGGTCGACAATTTCCAACCAGTCAAGGTATGCAATAGTTTTTACCGTAATGCAGAGTTTTTTACTATTTGCGATCGTATGCAAATTGGATATGAAATTAATTGCTACAATGGTTTATGATCACATTCCATAAATAATAGTTTTATTAACTACCAATTAGTGTTGAGTTGCGATAACAAATGATGTCTTCGCTAATAGTTTAATTATTAATAATACTTTTACGATTAAATTTTTTTTTCGGTTTTGAAAAAATAATGCCTCAAAATTCACTTAAAACTAAATGTTTCATCTACATACGTAACTGTGAAGTAAATATAAGAGCAAATAAATTTACTTTAATTTATAACTTATAAATAATAATATAATAAAACTACTTTTCGCTTCAAGCAATCATCGTAGACGTATACAGTGCCTTGTAGTAGATAAATATTCTTGAATTAAGGACTTAAAAAGTTAAATAAATTTCGTTCAATATCTAAACTTACACAACCAACGATAATATAGAGGGGCGTGCTTGGTGCGGCATTTGTGGAATGTTAATCGGTAAGCCCCCGGCGGACCGAACCGAGCCATAAAAACAAAAAGAGTGGCTTAGTTTCGGATATGACGTTATCTAGACTTTCACGGTAAATCCATTTCTTATATTCGAATTATATAAAACATGCTTATTAAATTTTGTTTTGCGAGCGATTGCCTATTTAACAATTATTGTTAAGTAATCGCGGAGACTACTTGTTGAATTTTTAAAAATAGAATGTAAGATCGTGAAGAGAATTTTGAATTTGGAAGTGAATGTGTGTATGACTTTGATCCACTTGCTATGTACGCGAAAGTATTTGGATATTTCTTCGAATTTTCGCAGTATATTATTATAAACACAAACAATTATTAAAAAACAAATTCCAGGTTAAGTTTTATAAATGCCGTTGAAATAACAATAGCGCGATTGAAAAGATAAGACAAATTTGATACCTACAAATGAAAATATAGGAATCTCGAATATCCAAGCTTCCAGAAGATAGGCAAAGAGGTAAAAAACATAAAATTAGTTCCGTGGAGAAGCGAGTGCGAGGGAGATGGGCGTACATACGAATCTAAGGAGATGGAAAGAGAAAGATGCTGAGTTGGAAAGCAACCGGTCGGAGACAGATGCGCTCTTGAATCCCCCACGGCAATCTTACAACTATAAGAAAATAATTATTAAAAAACTGACTTATACCTGTGATTTCGTCTGCGTTTTGAATAAATATACATTGTTACATATATCCTGTATATATGTAGAAACTTTCACGAACACTACCATACTATAATTAAGATTTTGTAACAAAAATGTACTAAAATACATAGTTATAGCAATTAATTACTTTACAATGTAGAAAAGCGAGCCAACTGATGGATGAAGAATTCATTTAACTTTAGATACATATTGAACATAAAAGCATTTTTAATATTCTCTACAACTTCTGTATTAAATGATCTTCCTAGATCTCAAATATAAATAGTATATAACGCAGTTACTGGTACTCTGGTACTCTTTGAACAAAATCATGCTTTTTTACCGCCTAGAAGCGCTTCTACAGTTGTTTTAATTCATAATTACAGTTGCAATTCAAGTTAATTTTGAGTGGCTCTTATCCCTGAGGTGGTAGGTTCGATCCCCGACTGTGCAGTATCTATGTGCGCATTTAAAATTCGAACGGTGAAGGAAGACATAAGAAACCGGCTTGCTTAGACCCAAAAAGTCAACGGCGTGTCACAGGAGGCTGATCACCTACAAATGATCATGAAAAGATTAAAGCGCGAAACCTGAAAAGGTAGCGCCACTGAATTTTTTTAATGAAATTTATGGGGCTAAGTTTGTAAGCCTATCAGTTGAAATAGCATTTCCTGAGGCTTTACCGTATCCGGTAACTATTCTTAAGTTCCCCTCAGAATTGCGGATGCCATTCCTATTTCACAATTTTTTTCGCTCAAGCAAAAAATACTCGGAATGTTTTTTTTTTTTTTTTTTTTTCGTGGGGGAAATGCGTTAAGCATACCCTCCCCAATTAATTTAAAGTGTATTTTAAAATTTAATACAAATATACAATTATATATTTTTACTTGAAATTAGTATAGAATTTGAATTGTATTAGATTCATATCGATCGTCACTTCAGTTTAAAGATGTTATAATAATATTAAAGCCTTTATTATTATTTCCATATCCTTTTTCAAATGTTAGTAGGTAGTATTTACTGATAGCTAAATGTTAGTAGACCCCTCTTGGGTGAAAGCCACTTCCAACCTTTGCCAGATGTCTCTATCTGCCACTTGTCTGCCAGTCTTTTCCTTCTATTTCTATCAAGTCATCAGTTCAACAAAGTAACATTCTATAACTGTTATGTTACCACAATGTTCGCGACTATTTTCAAATAAGGCGATGTATATTGTCGCTTAAATGTCGCGACAAATATGCATTAATTTCCCATTCATTGTAAACTTATTACTTACATTTGCGGTAAGTAGACCTTCACAACGTATGTGTTATAACATAGTATTTAAAAAGGGTTGTAATAATCAATTAAAAATGTAAATAGGTTGATTCATTATCATGGCCAACCAACAACATATGCTTTGCATTCGGTTTATTTATTATATAGAAATGGAACGCTGCTGAAGTATCTATATAATTTGAATCTAAGCATGCATAATTGCAAAGCGGGGCAGGATTGCTAATGTGCGTAAAGGAATTCCGGAACAAAAATGCACGTCTACCTGCAAGATGCCAGATGTTGCCGGCTCACATTCCTACATTATACATAAAACTACGCAAATTACCTGGAAAAACTGAGAAAATCGCGCATAAGTGCCATAACTGTCGCGTCTCGGCAACGCCGCTTATTAAATTGCCAGCCTCAAAGGATGCATAGCCCATATAAGGAAGATTTGTTTATTTACTCTCGTGTTTGTATATATTTATATGACCTATGTGGTGCTAAGTTTGGTAGAGCTTTGAGCGCGGGATGCGTAGGATTCATTCGACAACCGAGAGTTTCC